GAGCCCATCCCAGCAGCCACTGGGCGGAAGGCAGGATACTCCTAATACAAGGATTATACAAGGAACAGTTCTTGGCTGTTCTAGGAAGAAAAGTTTAACTGTTATAGGACCTTTACGCTGTATGGAGATTTATTTTTAAAAGTGCGTTCAACTTAGAGGGAAAGTGACCATTTACCAAGGACCCTGAAGGAGAGTGGAAAATTTGTTGGCATTGCTATTTCTTGTAGTCAGGCTGGACTCACCTCTAAGCTCCAGTAGAATGGCCCTGAGCAGGTTGTGTATGTTGTGCCTACATTCTCTCGGGGTGGATATGCTGCTCTTTCCACGTCCCCGTGCTCACACAGTTCCAGTGTGGCCAGCTCCTGGGCCAGGTCTGATTGGCTGACTGACCGGCGCCACCTTGACAGGGGTGAGGTAGCAGGAAACCCAGTCTGTGAGGGCAAGCGACCTCTAGGCCCATTCGCGACGGTGGCTTGACCTTTGACCTGCATCCGACTGGAGCTCTCGCTGCGGCGGTTGGTTCGAGGGTCACTGCGAGGGATGGCTCGCCCCCGCTCTGGCTCCTGTGGGAGGGACAGGGATACTCTGGCCAGGCAGGAGCTAGGAGTGAGGTAGCGGGAGGTGGAGGGTGAGTATCTGGAGGCCTGAGGATGGCCGCGGGAGATGTAGCTCAGGGAGGGGTCATACGGATCATAAGGGCGATAAGGGCTGAGCAGGGTGGAGCCAGTGGTGTATTTGGGAGAGGAGTAAACTGGAGACATGATGAAAAGGAAATGGAGGAAGGGAGGGGGGAGTCAGCCACACAGCAAAGAGACCCAGACTGTTAGAAGCAGAAAACACAAAAAAGATGGGTTACACAGTATATAGCTCTATGTTATCTTCTTTGAAGTATATCCACCCACACTTGGAAATTCTTACAAAATTATCAAGTACTGATCTCCAGAGGTGGGTAGAGTAGCCCAGAGTTGCTACTTTTAATTAAATAATCAAGTACACATAGTAGGTAACAAACAACTTGAGTAAAGCATCAGGTCAAAAACATCTTAAGTACAGAGATTGCTACAGAACTGCAGTAAAGTCTCAGTAGATCCAGCAATGAAAGTGAAGTTTGTTAGGTGCCAGTTTTCCTTTTTGGGATATTTTTGGTTTAAAATAAAATGTTAAAGCGCCAAGGTGAACCAACAGATCAGACTGAAATTAAACCCCTGCCCAAAAAAAATGTGATTAGCAAGCAGGAATAGTTAAAGTGGAAACAAGTAGAAAGTGTATTCCTTTCCTCACTACTTGCTAATACCTCTGCTCATTTCTTTCACGTGTGAAGTGAAATTTAAGTCACTGGTAATGAATTATACCCATAGAAAAGATTTACCATTACAAAAGAAAGAATATGAGCTTGTGTGGGTGTTAGAAAACATCCCTTGAAACCTAACTTCTAGCTAATGTCAGTGAATGAAGAAAAAGGAAAATCCACAGAATGAGATGGCTTCTGTAGAGAGCGTTGCTAGTGTTGTTCTAGGATTCCTGCAAAGCCAGCCAAAAAGAAAGAGCAATCTCAGCAAGCCCTGACTGAGCACACTTCCCAAGAGCTAGCACAACAACATGGCACGTATTACAGGGCATGTTCTCTTCTCTCGTTTTCTGAGACTTTGGTCACTAGAGCCATAAATGTAGGTTGCTGCTGTGTGTAAAAAAAGGTCTCTTAAAATACTGATATTTTACTGAGTTTTCAGAAACAGCCATTCAAAAGATGCATTTTTGTCAGTCAGTCATTCAGTTTAGGATTGCCTATTTTTACTGTTCTCGTTATTGTTCATTTTGTAGTATGGAAAATGAAAAAAACATCACTACCATCACTACCTTTCTCTCTCTGTTGATGAACATTGGAACCAAGTCTAAGTTCTTAGGTAAAGGGAACGAAAAAAGACTTTTCAAAATTACTGTATAAGTCAATTGTTAAGTCATTTTAGAGTGGTTTGATGTGATATAGTGCATTGTAGAAATAATGACCATCTCTGATTTCTTTACAGGGGCACTGACAGGAACCAGGAGTCACTATATCTACAACTCAAATATAGCCATTTTATTTATCTATTTAAGAAAAATGACCAGTAAATCTACTTATGTCTACTAAGTTTTTATTTGTAATACTAATAATAGTAGTGAATCTGAAAAAAATTCTTTTGGTACAATTTTTCCTTATAACACACTGCATTTATCCTTACGCTATGAATATATTTAAAACGTAAATTTTAGACCAAAAAGATCATAAAACAATGTCCCAAACATCAGGTAGCACACCTTCGTAACCATTTCGTGTAACCTTTAGTGGCATTCTCTAGAATTTGATATCAAAGCACCCTGCATGACTTCGTTTACATCTTAAGCGTTTAATTATGAAGAACTTTAGAAAAAAGGGTGGAATTCCCCTTTAAATGAACCCAAGCAGCTCTCTGAGATGGGACCGTGGCTGAGGGACATGGGCACTATTTTAGATAAAATTAATACATAAAAAGTGAATATTCTTTTAAATTAAGACGTTACATATGTTATTCGGTAGTTACATCAATACATAAAGTGCCTCAGAGTCAGACTTAAGTGTGGCGAAATCTCTTCACAGTGAACACTGTGAAAAGTATGCCATTAGCCACAGTTACAGAGGCTGAGGCTGCCGTTGCTACCAACACTGATTTGGCTCGGAAGTCAGCTAATTAACGTTGCCCATTTGGGAGCAGTTCGCTTGGTGGTAACTGTAATTATTTAATTTCAAAGGGTTCGTAGTATTGCTAAATGAACCGTATGCCAAACACTGAGAGTGAACCGAGTTAGCTAACGGTACTAGCTGACCGGCGGGGCGGAATAAGTCGGTTATGTCACACTTTGAGCCTGTAGCTACAGCTAGCCGCAGCTAATCCTGCAGTAGTTCAGCTCACCGCAGAGCAAAGCCAACCAACCGTTCTTACCGGCGGAGTTCCAGTTCATCCTCCCGTTACACGAAATTATTCACACGAATTTTCCTCTAAAAACCTGGCCGTTTCCAGGCGAATTCGCCAAAAACGTCGACGCGTAGTTTGTTCAGTTTCACATAGACGCTGCTAGAGTTTGCGGCATACCGAGAGAGAGAGATAAAGAGAGAGAGAGCGTCCAGCTGGGGGTATTTTCGTGTTTTAAGCCGGATTCAAGGAACCGCCTCCCAAGCGGTCGCCCTAGCGACGCGGATGACACACGCGCGTGCACACACATCAGCCTTGTATTGCTATCTTTGTGGGTATTTCATTTGCTCTGAATTGCTATAACCAAGCGCTGGAGTGTTGAACCTAACTCAGCCTCTAATTCAGGCACCGAAAACAAGTACTTTGTTTCTTTTACTCTTCAAATTAAAGCTATATATTTTCATTTTTCCTATTGGATACTAGTCAAATGTCCCCATAACGTCGAACCCTTCATGTTTTATCACTGCGGGTACTCACAAAGCACTTAATACATGAACATAAACACATGCGCGCACACACTGTTGTATTTTTGGCTTGTAATACCTCTGACTAAACACCCTGAATAGAATCAAAGTGGGTAGAATAGATGTGAAGTGCTCACTTTATTCTCAAATAAACATATGCGATTAAAAAAAACTACAGTAGCCTAAGACATCCTCATTAAAGGAGGGGTATAGGCAGACATTTTTCTTTTCGTTCATCATTAATCTGGCATGTAATGTATCATTACCATTGTACAATAGAGCTACAGTTCACGTGAACAGAGTCCATGCATCTGATTACAAACATTCCTCCGGATTCCCATAGTACCATTAGGTCAAGTATTGTGATACATCAAGGCTACATTGCATGTCCGTATAACTTCTTCACCAATTGCTGTATCCTGATAAATGAAAATTTCTATTTAGCATCACATACAGTACATTTAGATAACCACTTTCATTCAAAAATGGGCAATATGTACAGGATTAATCACTAATCCTGTAAAAAATAGACTGCTTGAGGACAGCTGGAATATATAAAAGCCTATTCCCACCAGGTAGTAGGGGGAAATCACTTGGTAGCAGTGTGTCAAAATTCTCACTTAGCATCCTAGTTTTTTCCTTGAAAGTGTTGTCTCAAAATTAGGGCATAGTATCTAAAAAAACAGTATACCACTAGGTCGAAATAATTATTTTCTTATTTTCTTGAAAATTTGCCTTAGTATCCCAAAATAATTACTTCATCTCTGAAAATTTAATTTCAATGTAGTAAGTCATTATTTCGAGATACTAAGTCAAACTGTTGAGAAAGTTAGTCATTACAATGACGTAGTTACTTATTATTTCAAGATATTTTGACATTATAAGTCATAATTTTGAGGTACTAAGTTGAAATTTTGACATACTGCTGCAATATACAGAGGAAAAAGATAAAATTGTGATTTTTTCTCCTCGCCTTCTCCTCTTAGATGGGCTTCCATAGAAAATACTTGTGTTGGCTTTGTAACATATTTTTCTGACTCAGGGAATGCATTTATTTCAGGATTCTGCTAGTTATACGATAGTACCAAGTAACATGATGAATGGAAATTCATCTAGAATTCATCAATGGTATAAGGAAATACTTCACAAGACACTGAATGCTTCACATATTCAGTGCAGAACAAAGCTTGATCTGAGCAATACTTCATCAACGCAAAGAGGGAAATTAAATATTGGACAAAGAATGGCAATTTGAGAACTAGAGTAGGGAACAATTCATAAAACGTCTAATCAAACATAAATATAACCAGCACTGAGAATTTTAACCATTCACTGCAACATGAGCCTCCACAACATGGAGTTTATCAGGCATCTTCATAATCTAGTAAGTTGCACTAACATCTAACATCTAATCTCTAAGGCTGCTTTGGGCAGGGGTCCATGAACCTCTGCTAACAGCAAGGTTCTTGTGGATGAGTGTCTTGGAAGTGGATCTATTTTACAAAGTGTAGGACCAAAGCTGGTTTTTTTTTTGTTTTTTGTTTTTTTTAGAGTGCATCCGTACAGCTGGACATTGGCTCCCACGGCTTTGTGGGGTTTGGTCACAGTTCTTTGCAGATGGAGAAAAGCTGCTGGTGATGTTTAGCGCTCCTCTGGCCTGCAGCGTATGGTTATAACATGCACTCCTCTCTTCTTGTTCTGTCTCTCTGTTTCTCTCTTTCTGCCTGCCGCTGCTCCCCTTCTCCTCCATGCGGCTACGGTTCAGTTAGCGTTAGGAGAAAAGAACGGAGGTGTGTGTGTGTATCAGGAGTGCGACGCCAACGCCAATGGCAACCAAGGGAGCCAGGGGCTGGAGATCATTGCTGGAGCTGGTAGCTATGGAGAAAGATGAACAAAAACATGTTAGATAAGTCAAGAAAGAGAGAGAGAGAAAGAGGGAGAGAGAGAGAGAAGGTTAAGAAAGAATAATGAATTGAACAACGGATGGACATAGATTAGTTAGATAGATAGATAGATAGATAGATAGATAGATAGATAGATAGAACAGATAGAAAAATGAACAAAAACATGTTAGATAAGTCAAGAAAGAGAGATAGAGGGAGAGATAAAGAGAGGTAAAGAGAAAGAGAAGGTTAAGAATAGTGAATGGCATAATGGATGGATGGATGAATGAATTGATGGACAAAGATAGATGCTGCTCACAGTAACATAAGCATGGTGTGTGACGTACATTGGTTGTTCGTGTGTGTGTGTGTATAGTGTTGTCTGTGTGTGTGTGTGTGTGTGTGTGTGCGGTGTGTGACTCATCCTCTCTGCTCATCTTATACTGTATCTGAGGTCATACAGAATGCATGAGATACATTTTGGTTTAGCGTTACAGCAGAGTGGAACAGTCAGGCAGAGATGGGTGACATCCAAGGATGATTGCGCTGACATTTAATATGCAGAGAAGATGTGTGCTTGTGGGTGGAACGTTTCTGACTAGCGCCTTACACTGAACTGCAAAAAAGTCAATTATAGAATCATTTTTTGAACACTGTTGAAAACAATGATTGGTTCATCATTGCCGGCGATTAAAAAAGCGATTCAATATTAATGAGGGAATTTTTCTAAATTTCCGCATCATTAAATCAACAAAGTAATTCCAAGAGGTTTGAGGTGAAAGGTGCTGCTCTTGATAAAACGTATCAAGTCATCATGGTGGTATGAACCAGACTGAAACATTTTATGCATATAAAACTATAGGAGTCATGTTTAGGTTCCCTTTTAGTTTTGGATAGCAAATAAATATATTTGCTATATTTGCACTACACACACTGTGATCCTGGTACTTATCATCATGATACTCACAGAATCAGCTTCTCTACAATGCACATTTTACATCAAAACACTCTGAATGACTTTGTTTACATCTCAATGATTGAGTATGCAGAAGGTTTGAAAAAATGTTGGAATTTAGATTAGTCCTCACTCACAGCTTATTAAAACAAGCAAAGACATTATTTTTGCATTTATAAGTAGAAGAGAAGATATTTTATTATGATTTGAGTTTAATATAAAGTTATTGTTTTATGGAAAGAAAAAACACACTTTATATTTGATATAAGTGTAGACTCAAACTTTTTGATACAGAATATAAATTATAAATGTACTTCATTATGAAGGTCCTTATATATTCAAAAGAGCATTCTGTATGCAGCATTATATCCCTCATTCATGATTTTGTATCGTTTTCATGTTTCTGTTTATCAATGTTTTTGTCACTTATATGTTATTACAACTGTATAACTGTGGTAACTGTATTCAAACATTATAACAAAGGAGAAAGGATTAGACAGAAATCAGAAGGACAACAAGGAAAAAATGTAGCAGTTAGCAAAGTATCTGGATACCTTACCTCGGTTCTTATCTCTAGCTGACTAGTAGTCCTGACTATTCCTGACTATTAGTAATGTATAGAATAAAAATGACCAAAAACCAAGCTAGCATTACCTCGGTCATCCAACAAAACCATAAAGAAAGCAATGATTCTACCTCTATTTAGCACAAAATGAATAACAGAGACAAGTGTTTTTTACCCTTTCAGCTAGAGATAAGAAATGAGGTATGGTATCCAGATACCTTGCTAACTTTAGTTTTTTCCTTGTTGTCCTTCTGATTTGATGAATCATTTCTGTTTAATCCATTCTCTACTGTGATAATGTTACCACAGCTATACAGCTGTAATAGCATATTTAGCTACCTAGCAACAACGTAACACTATAATAAAAAAATACCTGGTTTAACTTACAAACTGACTGTGACTGTGCTGCAGTCTTAATAGTTTTATATAGTTTTAACAAAATTTTCTTTTTTACTTCCTTCTTCCATCGGGTAAAAAAAAAATTCAAAACAGTCCACCCGCTTAAATTCACCTTAAAAGCAGTTGTACTTTTTAAAAAGTTTGTCCCACCTTCAACATACATCATCAGATGAGAGGTTTCCTTGTCTTTAAACCAGCGCTACATCTTTGTAGGATGTGGGTAAGCATGTTTACAAAAGCTGTAGCAATGGCTTGATTTTTCATTTTGGCTGGAGTGGCCCTTTCAATATGTAATTACATAAGAATAACAAAACTAAATAAATAACAAAACTCCCAACTTCTAGGAGTGAAAGCTGAGCATGAGTGTATGTGTATGGCTCACCGCGACAGCTCTTTCCATCTCTCTGCAGCATTCCTGTCACACAGCTGCACACAGGTCCTGTTACCTGACTGGTGCAGATCTGCTCACAACCGCCATTACCCTCTTCACACCAGTCCGACTCTGCAACAGCACACACACACACACACACACGGATCACTACTGTAATTACCTTCTTCAATTATATGCCCACACATGCATCCTATTGCAGCTATCATTATCATCTTGACACATACACACAAACACACACACACACACACACACACCTCGTCTTCTGATTGGTCCCACCGTCAATATGTGCTCTTTTTGCTGGCTGTAGTCTGAGTAGCTCCTTTTGTTGTGTGGACAGTTCTAGGAATATACCCACCACAAGAGGTTAAAACACATAAAAATATCTAGAAAGATATAACCACAAGTTAATTAAAGGTGGAAAATCTCATCTTGGTAAAAAAAAAAAAAAACAGGTTCACTAGACAGTGCATAAACAGACTTAAGAGAACAAACACTTCTACATTGTGCACATTTGTTTTTGTTGGTTAATAATTTTCCAGTCATATACCCTTCACCTATACACAGACTTTTGATGATAATGATGAAAATGAGAAAAAAGTTTGTACTCATAGACATTAACAAAACTATATTTATGCAACGAGTAGCAATTATGATGAAGGTAAACATTTTTGGGGACAACATTATTAAACAACATTCAAATGGAAAAAGCTACAGAGCCATAGTAGACAGTTTCAACATCCTTGTAAAACAATAACAGAACACTGGCAATAATTCAACTTGTAGAAAGGTTGCATGTGCCCACTGTGAAGTACATAAATGGGAGCATCATGATACAGTGAGAAAATGGATGTGTCAACAAGACAATGTTGACAATAATTTTTATATCGAAATCACAATTGAGTGCAATTTTCAAATCACAAGAGCTTCAATTTTTATTACCGAATACATTATCAACAAGTTTTACATGGAGAAAATTTAACATAATAACACAGAGGTTGTGAACTGCCTGTAGATGAGTTAGACCAATTTGAAGCAACAAACCACCCATTTTTCTGTATATGTGATATCACAACAATCACAACTAACGGATAATCTGACACACTCTTTAAGCTTCATACCATAAAAAACTGATATTCTGGTCTTCTTAGCCAAAACAGGCCTGGAAATGAATTTATAGAAAATAATTGCATTTAAATTGCAATCACAGTATTGGTCAGAAATATCACAAATTGACCCCAAATTGTTCAGCCCTACTCAAGACTGGTTTTCTAAAAAGATGGTGAAGGTGCTTGCATGGTCTAGCCAATTTCCTTACTTGAATCCCCTTGAAAATTTCAGACTCTTGTAGCCTTGGGGAATTGAGGACGGTTTGCTCAGAGGAATGAGCAATTCAGCAAAAAGCTAATTACTTCTTCAATCTCAAAGCTGTACCTGCCGACAACAGCTTTGCAGCAAAGTATTAAAGTTATTCATTTGACAGCTTTTTTCCATGTCAATTTGGTTAAACACATAAATGTTTATACTTATGAACACATACTTTAAATTTTATATTTATACAGGCAAAGTCAAAAGCAATTATGTGTGTAAATTTGAATGTATAAAAGTGCATATATTCACTAAAAGTATACTAAATAACAAAAACAAAAGTGTCTGAATACTTGTTTCCCTTGACTGCACTGTAAACTGGGATATAATGTACTGCTCTCCTAAAGAATATGTGAAGCATATATTATGTTATTAGAATTTCTACATCATTCATTCAAAACATTCTTATAGATTGGTGCTATGTAACAATGTGTAGGTAAGACTGAGTTAAAATAGGAATAATATAATGGGCACAAGAACAAATTCAGTTTTGAAAGCTTCACCTGCCCTGGAGATTATGAACAGATTGCATCTACTGAGCAATATCTCATGATGTCTGTTCTAGTGAATAAGGACTTGTATTCTGGCATATGAATGAAGACCATCTGCATTCAAAGAACCATTGTAAGGCCTCAAACAATGACCTGACAACTGACTAAACTTTTTCTATTGTGAAAACCTGGTGATAATATGCACAGTGTGTGTATATTCTCACCACTTTGCATGCGCTGGTTTCAGAGTCACACAGTGTGACGTCACAGTGCAGATGAACCTCATCATAGTCCCCGATGAACTTAAACACAGTGACATGAAAGCGGCAGGTCAGGGACACGCCATTTTCGGCCATGCCTATAGTGTTGTCCTTAATGTTGGGACACCTGAAACACACAGAAGCCTGCAGTAGTGACATGACAGACGTGACACATAGTGCCATTAGGAAATAAATATGTGTGCATCCCCATCTTGATGCACTCTAAGTAGCTTTCAAGACATAATGAAAGAAATCTGTTCTTTGTTAAAATAAACATTTGCAAATGTATAGATTTGATACATAACTTTTTTTATAATATTTACCTACTTACATATATTATATGTATTGGACACAATGATATTACATATAAGTGCTTACATATATACAGTTGTATGCAAAAGCTTGGGCAGCCCTGGCCAACTTACATATTTTGTTGATTTCTGAATTGTGGCATCTGCAAAAGGTAACACTTTTGGATACTCAGCAAAGTTAACTCGTTAGGCCTTAATTGACTGGTTAGGACTGGTTAGGCAGGTCAAAAACTGTCATTATTAATTGTCAGCTGATGACAATTCCAGAGTGTAATAAATTCTCTGACCCTTTCAGCCTTGTGTTCTATGCAGCTGGATGAGGATCCAAAATGAAGCTAAATGATGCCTACAAAGTCGAGAAAGGCTATAAAAAGATGTCAAAATGCTTCTAACTTGCAAAATTCCACTGTTCAAAATATCATTCCCTTTCATCACTGACATATACAAAACAACACCTAGATAAGCCAGAAGCATTTTGGAAACAAGTGACATGGACTGATTGAAAAATGGACCTCTCTGGCCACAATCACCAAATGTATGTTGAAGGAGTTGCATTTGATTAAAACAACACATCAAAAATCAACAAAATATGTCATTTGGCCAGGGGTGCCCAAACTTTTGCATAACACTGTAGAGTAGTCTAAAGCCCTATAAAATAAAAAAAACACTCAAGTAAAAGTAAAAAAGTACCTTTCAGAAAAACAGCTTGAGCTGAAGTACAAAAATATTAGGTAAGTACTGAAGTACCGTGTATTGAGTAACATACAGAACTGCAGCAGAACTTCTAGGATTACGGTTAACTTCTTTGTACTTGTCTTTGTTTTAAATTTTTCTAAATTCTAAAACTTTCTGTTGTTTATTTGCAGGATTAAATAAAAACAACCATAGATTTTCAAAATGGTCTCAGACTTTTGAACCCCACTGTAAATATAATACATATTACACATATAATTATTATATATAGATAATTACATGTATGTAATACATATAGAACATACATATGACCCAGCCTCCTAATATTGCACAAAACAAATATGAGTGTCTCTGTGCATGTGTGTGTGTGGTGTGATTTCCTCACCCTTTCTCTATGATGATATAGCGGAGGCGGTCACTGCTGTAGCGGGATGGCGTGGCCCAGCACATGTTTACTATGAGGATGAGCTGGCTGTCATCAGCCCCCTCCACAAACACGCCCACGAACAGGACGTCCCGGGTGCTCAGCACCACCTCGCCCTCCCGGTATGGCTGCCGGTAAGATGCGTTCTTATACAACGCCATCTTAGTGATGAAGTTTCCCTCCTGGGTGGGAAGTGTCAGGTTTATAACACTGTAGAATGAGAGAGAGAGAAAGAGAGAGGGAAAAAGAGAGAGAGAGAAAGAGAGAGAGAGTGGCGTGATGTGAAACGCTCCGTTCAACTGTTCAACTCCGTTCAACTGTAGTGGTGGTGATAGGAAACAGATGTCCAAAGCATTTTAATGCCTAAAAGGGCACCTCACAGAAAGTTATTACACAAAATTGTTATGAATATGCTGCCTGATGTTTGAGAAATTGCTATATGATAGTTTTGCAGTAAGGTTTTGGCCTAGAATGTACTGTAGGGCATAGTAATACTACATTTTCTGATTAACTACTTTTTTACCATTATCAACATTACATATAAAAACTCAGAAGACAAGTGTAGGTTCACCTATTGTTTTAGTAAATAAAATGACCATATTTGTACTGCACTGTGACTCTGTTTACATCTAAAGAATTTAATTATACAGATTTTTTCAATGGATGAAATTCCTCTTTAAGAGCAACAAGCTGTTAAAACATAGAAAAATGCCGCTCATAGATATTTAAAGCACAAGTTGATTAGAAGAAGAAAAAAAAGAGTAAAACTGAGTTCTCTAGACACAACATAAACAATCTTAATATGACAAATACTTCTACATCTCCCCTTATATTCCAGGACTTTACTTTTGCACTGGGCAAATACTTCAGCTTAAACTTGTTTGGGCAAATATAAAAAAAAACCTGAAAAGAAGGTCACAGCTGAAAAATATAATGAGGTTACTATAATGTATAACTTTTCTAAAGAGTATGTGAAGCATAAAGTGAAACACTAGAAATTTGTGCTATGTGACAATGTTTAAGTAAGACTGAATGGATTAAAGCATTAAAAATATAATGGGTCTTGACTGTACTGTAAACTGGGATATAATGCATTGCTCTCCTAAAGAATACGTGAAGCATGTGTCATTATGTTCTTAGGATTTCTACATCAGTCATTCAAAACATTCTTATAGATGATGCTATGAGACAATGTTTAAGTAGGACAGAGTTAAATTATTAATAATATAATGGGCACAAGAACAAATTCAATTTAGAAAGTCTAACCTCCCTGGAGATTATGAACAGATTGCATCTGCTGTGCAATAAAAATGCCATGACGTCAGTACTCATAAAAAAAGACTTGTATCCTTCTACATGATAGAAGATAAGGACCATGTGCATTCATAGAACCACTGTAAGCCCTAGGATGCGGTTTAATGACACCCTCTAGAAGATAACTAGCTTGACTTCTGACCTCAGCATGGGCTTGAGCACGGTCTCCAAGGAGATCTTGATGTCCAGCTCGTAGGCACAGGAGAACTCCACGTTGATGGTCTTATCACGTGTCACCACATTCCCTGTGTTATTCACGCTCTCGATCCACACTGTGTTCTTGTACATAATGTGGGTCCCATTTGACTGAACATTCACAAACACACACACACACACACACACACACACACACACACACACACACAATCTAAGTGGTTTTGAATTGAATTACACAAAGTGCACAATGAAGACCGCATTATGAGAAACAGTCTCCTCGTCATAACACACAAAAGGCTGAAAAACAAATTACTGTCAAATCTATAGGAAATATACGGAGCAGGATTTGCAAGACTCTTATTGCAAGATCTTCTCTCATCAAACTAAAGTGCAATAAACTGGAAGGTAAGAATATTGTGACAGCGTTTTGTGAGGTTTCTCAGGGCATTGCTGCTCTTCAGTATTAGTTTCCAAAATGCTTTAGCCGAGCACACTAATGTTATTCCTCCTAATAAACAGACATACGTTCAGCTCTGTTTCCTCATTATTCACCACCAACACTGGAATATATTATTTGATGAGTTTTTGTCAACATTAACACATGAAGGTAATGAGAGGGGATGGTGAAGATCGTGTCTGCAGCGTCTGGGATTTTAAAAACGCTAAAAATGAAAAATAAAAGTCATAAATGAAAGCGTCAGTGTAGATAAATTTAACGTCATTATGCTAGTTACAGTAACTTTGCTGCCTGTCACTGTATGAAATGATAGAAACTGCTGGTTAAAACAGAAGTAAATAAAACTCTGGGGTTGTCTTAAAGTTAGGACAGAATTTAGGCAATTTTGCCTGCTAGTGCCACAATATTGTCGATGCTTCTCTGCCCGCGGCGTAACCAGCAAACTGTTGTCTTTCTTTATGGAATGGCGGGATTTTCTCAGCAAATAGACACCATATTGAGCACTATGTGCTTTCCCATTCCTATTTTAACCAGTGACCGCTCTCCTCACTTATAATGTCTCTGGCATCATCTCATGGTTGGTACACTGGTAACTTAGTGGATTGAGTCTGACGCCACAACAATCTGAACATTTGCTCGTACAAATTGCAAAGGCCCTGTGATGGAGTGCGAAATCCCAGTACATTCTTACCAGGCAGTTACCATTTATTTCCCTTATTTCAGCAGGGAAATACTTCTGAATGACCATTAAAAGCATTCAGAATGTTATATAAAATATAATAGTCTATCAAAGACAAAATTAACTTGTTATAAAGCCCTGTTGTGGACAGATAAAAATGCGGTTGAGGTTCTGGTTGTTGTAAAAATACTGTGCGGACCACTGCATTACAGTCTCAGCCTGTTCCTGTAAAGCAGCAGAGGGTGCTTCACCTGCACAATGGAGCCACAGTGTCCCTTTGTGTTGTTGATGTGGAAGGAGATGAAGTCTTCTCCTTCAATGCCAGGACAGCGTTGGTCATTAATGCGCACATCCTCCCTCTCAAAGCCCAGTTGGAAGAGACGACACTTAGAAATGGACACCTCCATCTGCGCATGTTTGCATGTTACCTCGGCCTGGATAATGTCGTCCTCACCTCAACGACAGAAAAGGAAAAGATGCTCAGAAATTAAAGACTACAAAAAAGAACAGCACCTGCTACAGTCATCTTTACTGGCTTTGAAGTATTCATAGTAACGGTGGACATATTTGAATCCTGACTCATTCATTCAGCATAATGACTAAAGCTATAAATGTCTTCTGACTATTTTCAAAGCACAATGTGCCTCTCAATGGACAAATTTAGCCACACTGGTAATATTTAACTACTGGCAATCAACACTGAGTCCATGTGCCTCTAATAAAACAAAGCATCTCTGCGATTCCTGTATGATGCATAGGTGTTGGTGGAAGTTTCATATTTAATTGTCGTTTCTCTTTTAAAAGTCAAGGTTATTATTTGTGCAGAGGGAGCTAGAGTGGCTTCTACTTGGAATACATACAGACACACTCCCTTCTGCCTCTAACTAGTTTACCAATGTCAGTGCTGGGCAGTTCTGGACAGCCACACAGGTCTCCTCCATTCTCCTGCTCACATGTGTTGTTCGTGCAGATCTCTCCTGCACAAGGGTCATAGATCCATTCTGCTAAAGACAGGTCCAGGCACAAAGTTAGCACACACACACACACAGAACTAACTGTGCGGCATTTCAAATGCAAACACAACAGACATGCCGACATATGTTACTGTTCAAAAGTTTGGAATCAATTGTTATAATAATTGTTATTTTATTCAGTAGTAATTTCTACCGTGGAGCTTGACTTATAAGGAGGTATCTGTTGGTAGATGTTTTTTTTTGGGAACAAGAAGTAATTAAACGATAAATTATAGATTGTAATTATCTCTAGTTATTTCTTGTCAACTTATTTGCATTGAGATTTGATCAAAATCAAAATTCTATTTCAAATAAGAGGCATTCTGTATATCAATTTGAGAACTTCATTCTCAATGTTATACAGCTTTCTTAGTCATTTTTTAATCATCTGCATCTCTGTTCATTTGTACATTTTAATAGCTTCCTATAATTCCTTAACATACCAAAGCCATACCAGAATCCTTTCACATAGATAGCTGCAACAAAAATATTTTATTATTGAAAACAGTGATTCCAGACCTCAATGGTCATTCCAAACTTTTGAATGGCAGTTTATATTGTATATCCACTCAACAAAGCCGTCCATTCCTATATTCAATGTTTAAAACCTCACTCCCTGCATCCCTTGCTTTTTCCCTTTCCCCACACATCCCCCTCCTGTCCTGTAGGTGGCGGCGTGCCCTTACAGCAGTTCTCCTGGGCAATCCACTTGGTGGTGAGCGTGCCAAAAGAGCGGCAGGCCTCAGCATAGGCGGCCATGGAACCACACACTTGGGCCTTGCGGTGGTTGTAGCAGCCATCCAGGTAGCAGGACTGGTAGAAGGGCCCAGGATCCAGCAGGCCGTGACACGGCTGGAAGAAGCCCTTCAGCTGGGTGAGTTTCAGACAGCTGTCCTCCCCCTGTAGATCCAGGATGGCCGTGTTGTCACAGGACTGGGCCAGGGCAACATACTGAGTCTCATCACAGCTTCACATATATACAGGAGACAGTGAGAGAAACACATATTGAGAAATGGCAAGTGGGATATACCATCATGTAACTTTATAGAAAGAAAAACATTCTTAAAATCTGTTTATATGACTTAAAAATATGAAAATGCCTCATTTTTTCAAAACTGTATGCATGAAAATCTGATCTTCATAAATCAGATTTCAGCCACTTTCGGCCTAGATCAGATACATATCTGAGGTGACTATAATAAGAACCATCAGATCAGAATTCATTCATTTTTCTTGTTTTACATAACACTTCACTGTTCAAGTATATACTAACTGTATTACTGTGTCATCATCCAGTGTCTGCAGCATATCAGCTGCAGCTAGCATAATTAAAATATGTGCTTGTGGACCATTCCACTGTAGAGGTTTATTCACTCTAATGACAAATATATATCACTTACAAACACAAATGTGAACTGTAAGAGCAGGAAACTGGAAGTGAGCAATAAGACTTGGGCCTCATGCTAATGTTAATGGGCTACATGCATAGAAAAAGTGGCAGCTCCTTGCAGGACATAGACGCAGTGCAAAATGTGGCGATATAGACTTGCAACCATGTTGTTTTCCAATTTTTACATTTTTTTTTGTTGGAGTAGAATTGCACTCTTGTGGAATGTTTTGGTTTCACTGCACCTGCGTTCATATGTCCTTCTGGTCTTGATAGCGTGAGGACTGAGAAAAACAGTGATAGAGAGAGAGAGAGATTAACGAAGAGACAGAGAGAAAAGGATTGAGATAGAGATAGAGACAGAGAGACACTGGCAGAAAAGACCAAGTAAACATTAAAGATACCAGTATAAAGGCACATGTTCACTCACACACCTGTTCTGCATGCCATTGGTTTTCCAGCTCTGGGCAAGCTCCAGGGCACTAACGGCTGGTTTGCCACGAGAGGTGATGTAATCATCAGTGGGGTCGCCATTAAAATTCCCACACAGACCGCACACCTTGTTCTGCAGCCGTGGTCCCATGGTGATGCTGAGTGTGTTGAAGCGGTTATACCGGACCTGGATGTCCTGTGGAGTGTCGATCACCAGAAAGCCTTCAGACGTGGAGACTCGGGTCATTAGTCCCGTCACGAAAGGCACAGACACAGGCGTCCCGTTTACCTGAGGGAGAGACAGGGAGAGTTCAGAATCATAATGGACAACATAACACACCAATTTACATCCTGGACTCAAAGAGCTTTTAGGCACCTGCAAGGGAAAAGGACACCTCTCTAAACTTGATGTGAAAAAACAAACAAAAACAGTTACAAAAGCAAAGAAAGGAAGGTGGATTCAAGAGAGTGAGATAGTGGCAGTTTTTATGCCATTAACTACATACATAGTACATTTTGTTTGTGTGTCAAATACTATGATATGATATTTTTGCCATATAGCCCACATCTACTTATGCACATGCTTAATAGATTCAACATGCCACAGTTTTACTTATCAAACTTATTGTAGCAAGTTAAATATTTTGTTAAAAATTACTGATTAAAAATATTTTTGGGGTTTTGGACAGAGAAGGCCTCACAATCTGGTAACTAAAAATTACATGTCTGTAATGTTTAGTTCTTCTTTATTTAATGAAATCATGCTTTTATGTAAACCCTGCAAGTAATACAGTACTACTCTTGTTTCATTGTTAAGTTTTGGATGCAAATAGAAATTTGGCCAATAAGGAATTGTTTTTCTCTGTGGTATCTAGGTAGATATGGCTAAGCAAGCTCCTCTATTGCTTAAGACTTCAGCAGCTGAAAAGAATGCCTAAAGGTTAACCATTAGCATAATCACGAAGTGACAAAAATCAACCAATTATGATCTGATTTCCAAAAAGCAGGACCAATTTTATGACACAAAATGTCACTCTAGGCCAGACTTGTCAAACTGGGGACCTTGTGGGCCAAAGTGCTGTGGAGATTAGCATTTACCCTTATCTAACACTCTGAATATAGTTAATGAAGGCCTTGCTAATTAGCTTAAGAGCTGAATGAGGTGTGTTTTATGAGGTAGTGTGCTTAACTCTGCAGTGTTTTGGCTCGTGAGGACTGGAGCCTGACACATGTGCTCTAGGCCTTCTGGAAGTCCTAGATAAGTCACTCACTGTGATAAAGGAGCAGCAGCCAAATCAGTGGGTTGTTAGAAATAAAAACAGAGGCTGCAGGTTTATACCAGGGCTCTCTATTGAAAGAGTCACTGTGAAACTCCAAGGTAAAATATATGCTAATATGTCAAAAGCTAAAAGTAAAAGTAAAACATGGAATGTCTTTTAGAAGCTTCAAATGTGAATTGCTATTAGCTTAGCGCTAAAAAACTACTAGAACTCCATAGGGGTGTTAGCAAAAGTTAGCATTGTCATAGAGGTGGGTTTTTGTCATGTTTTGACCGAGTTTTAACTTTTATGGCCTGAATTGAAGGCCTAGCTTCAAAAGTCACAGTTTGCCACTGGCAAGCTCTGTATATGTGGATGACAAACATGTGTGAGTCATTGCTCATGTCACACATAGGGTTTATGTATGAAACAGGCCTAGACAGGAACCTCTAAGATTCATTTTCTATGTGAAAGAGCAAAGTAAGTGTCTTTTGCGGACCTTGACGGTGCTACCAGAGATGAGGATATTCTCCTCATTGATGTAGAGGTAGGCATGGGAAATGGTGGTGAGGTTGGGTGTGCTCCACTTGTCGAAGTTGGCGATAAGTTGGAAGGATAGCTCAGGCAGCTTGTGACATATGGTGGATAGGACAAATGAGCACGAGGCAGGCAGGCGGAGGGAGGCACCGTCAAACGTGCGGAAGACTCCACCGCCTGAAGCTACACAGTGCTGGTTGCGGCGGGCGAAGCAACCCCGGACACCGTGGCGCAATGCACACTCTTCTTCGGCCTTGCAGCGACGTGGGTCACACTGGATCAGGTTCCGACCGATGCACTGGCAGCGCTTGGTACAGTCGCTGTTCCAGAACAACTGCTTGGGCTAAGGTGAAGAAAGGCGAAAAAAAAGAGATGGTACTGTAATACTTTAAATAGTATTTTTAACATACACTATTTTTGATTGCTTATACTTAAAGTCCACATTTCATGTAAAAGCTCACTGTGAGGTAGCTTTTAGGTGGAAATAAAAGCTTTGGATATCTGGTTAAAATCACTACCACTGTAAGCTTCTCTAGAATGGTACATTTCACATTACAGCACTCTAATGTGACTTTGTTTACATCTTATGATGTATTATGACATTTTGAAAAAAATATGGAATTCCTCTTTAAAGGAATAGCTAATATATATATATATATATATATATATATATATATATATATATATATATATATATATATATATATATTAGCCAATATATGTTTGGTGTCTAAATATTACCTCTCAAGAATACCTTCCAGTTAGCATTGTGTGACCAACATGCCTAAAGCTTCACTCTTGCCTGAAATCACATTGAGTTATCTAGCATTAAATAAAACTTGCTTCTGTTGTTTCTGAAACTGTTTGACTGTTATCTAAATCAAATAGACCAAAAAAGTGTCGGATAACTTAAAACAGTAGTAGCAAACATCTAGATGCTTGAATTTTGCCCTTTATTTTGTCTGGTTTTGTTCATAACAGTTTGTCATGCAGTGTCAGAAACCACATAAGCAAATCAGTTTGACATTACTGGAATTGGTACAACATTATTTGATGGCCTTTATGCTTCCATTACTTGTTAGGGAGACTCCAAAAATATCTTGGATAATCGACTGCACTTGGTGTAAAGGGAAAATTAGTTACTTCTGAATCTTTGCCAAATTCTTGTTTAAAGTAGCCATGTAAAATCAGGTAGATCCTTCCTTAGAGCGTCTCTCACCTCATAGTACTTGCCATCGGTGTAGCAGCCACAGTTCTGATTAAGGATGCAGCTCTTGCCATTGAGCACATAGCCCTGGTCACACTGGCAGCCCTCCACACAGTACTGGTTGCAGTCCCTCTGGCCCCGCGCTGGCGCACACTGGGGCTGGCATGCCATCATACAGCTGGAGTAGTGACTGTTCATCGGGCATGATAGCACTAGATACGTACACAGAGGGCACAGCAGGAGGGATTCAGTGCATGGTCTGAGCCTCCCCAGAGATCAGAGGACAGGTTGTGTGGTACCACAAACAAAAATGAAGGTAAATTAATGGGATGCAGAAGATTAATGAAAAATGCTGTGAACGATTCAAAAGATAAAACATGTAAATCATGTTTTTTTTGCTATATTTCTGCTTTCTTTTTCAAATATTTACAAAACTATATTTGTCACAGTACATACAATCATTGGCCACTTTATTATTAGAATCTACCTTGTAGGTCAACCTTGGTGGTGTAAAATTAGATTGTAACCCATTTGTAGTAGAATTTGTGTTAGCCATCCTCCTCTGATTATTAATGGTCAATTTCTGATCACACAGCAGCTCGTGGCTGGATATTTTTGAGTGGCATACCAGGCAAAAAAAGGTGACACTAACGTAAAAAAAAAAACACTTGTACCAGTGGCACATCTGTAGTGTCACTGCTATTTGGAGACTGGTCCACCATCCAAATAATATCTAGGTATCCTATGGTCAGAAACCTAACAGTGATGAGTAGGGTAGATGGTAGTTGTCATTTTGTAATTGTACATCTGTATAGTGAACCGGTGAGTCGGTGTATACAATATGAATCAAATACAAGGCAGGTGTTTCTAGTAAAGCAAATATGTGTAGTCTGTATACTGTGTGATGTGAGGATGAGTAGATTGTGTGCCTCACCACAGGGAGTCGAGCTCCTCCAACCAATCACAGGCACTCCCTGTGTCTGACACGTACTGGAGTAAATCTGCAACCAGTTACAGATAGTCTCTCGTGCCCCCTGATCCACACATGTATCCTGCAGGCAGCTCTGGTAGAAGTACGCTGGTGCCACTTTGCTGTGGCACCGGGCGAATACACCACCACGATCAATAATGAGTCCACACAGCCTGACTGCCTCCGGTTCCACGTAGACATACAAGCCCTCAGCCAAGTGGAAACGGTTGCCTGGGTTACCATTATCAATGCCGGCCACTGCGTCCATCGTCTGAGCAGGGGCAGGGACATCAGCTCCCAGGCCTCTTTCAACTAATCCACAGCGAGGGCAGGAGTCCCCACACCCCACCTGACAGAAGGTGTCACGCTCTGCCCAAGTCATACCCCACTCACTGACACTAAGGGCAGGACCAGACACAGGCATTCCCTGGCACAACCCACAGGTGGCGTTAAAGAGGCTCCGGGGCAGAGAAAGCAGCAGTAGCGTATTCCAGTCAAATGCCACCTAGAGAGGGAAGAAGATTATAAATGGGCTTAAACTTTGACCACCATGTTTGTTATGTGAAGACATAAAGAAGAAGACTGGGTAAATGTTGGTGCATTGTAAGTTAGTGATGCTACTCAACCTTGAGTCCAAAGTCAGTCTCCACCAGTAACTGTAAGCCCAGGGTGTAAATGTTGACTTTCCCTGGGCCCAACTTCAGAGGCAGGTATAAACGCTCTTTGTTTACCTTGTAGCGAGAGAGAGACAGATGCACAATATAAAATTTCTATTTACCAAACTTACTATTAGTACAAGTGAGAGCTTGCTATGCTCTGCATTTCTCCCTGTCTTCCCAAGTTCCCATACCGCATCTCTCAATTTCTGTATCTTTTTCTCCCTTTATCCCCTTACTCCCTCTTCTGATCTTCTATTACAGAGAGAAAGTCCCTGAAAACAGCCTTCTCCATCTTTCCTCTCTTCTCTGTATCTTTATTTGATCTAAAGTTCTTCAGATCTTTAGATGGTGTTGTGAACCTCTTCCAACCATCACTCAAGTGTGAGCTTTTCTCTGACTTTGCTCCAACTTGTTAACAGACAGAGGCTGAAATCAGATATTCATGTTTTCAAAGTGGAATTTATTCTTTTGTCTCCAGCCCCTGTCTGCTTGATTAAAAATAACTTTGTGTCATAAGCATGAAGTGCTTGACCTTCATAAAATGTGAGTCATTCATGTATTAGATGAATTGTGAATTCTTGTGATTATGAAATGTCTAGCCCTCAACAGAACATGTCTTACAAATAGCCGGAATCTCATCGGTGGTTATGTGTTCTTTTACAGGTGTGGGGGCTTGTGTAAATCCACTGGCTCTTTTGTTTGCTGAATTTCACTGAATATTAAAACTGAAGATTATTCAAGTCATTAGGCTGAATAACATAATAATGGGGTTGATTCTGGTCACAATACATAAGCATCAAAGTACAATCATGACTTTGCTTAAAATTTCACATTCACATTATATTGCAAGAGGTCTACTTTCCCTCACCGTGACTGTATGTTTGAAGCTCCTTGACACCTCTATCTCATAACCATACACCTCCAATACAAAGCCTCGCACCCAGATGGCCTGCCCTGTGTCCCGCTCCTCATTCCGGGCTGAGAGCTGGAACCGAGGTAGGCCCCCTGGACCCATCTCTGCACTGTCCAACCCTCCGTCTACTTCTCCATCCTCCTCAAGCCCCCCACACTCCGTAGTCACCAAGTGAAGTGTGCAGCTGCTCTGAAGGTCAAATGGGACACCTCCGAAGGGTAAAAAGTGTCCGTATCCAGCTACCACACACATAGCCTCTGTCCGAGGCTGGCAAAAAAACAGCCCCTCATTCTCTTGGCAGTATTCCTCTGGCTGGCATGGGGAGAAGGTGCAGTACACACTGTTATCGGTCCCATTGCAGAAGCAGCGCTCTTGGCATTCCCAGTCGGTCCAGAAGGTCTCGTTGGTGGCCAGTTGTCGGCCAAGGTAGAAACAGCCACAGTCACTCCGGGCCACACAGAGCCCATCACGGAGAGCATACCCCTCTTCACATTGACAGCCTTCAGAGCAAGGGAATGGACATGGTTCCTCTGGCTCATCCAGGTTCTCACAGGTCAGTGGGCACGCTGTGGTGCACTCATCAAAGTGGCTGTTCTCTGGACATGGCAGAGCTAGGGAGGAGAGACAGAAAAGATATCAAAATCACTGGAGCACTGAGACGCCACTGAGATAATACTGGTTTTTGAATTCTTACGGCAGTTGGTGGCACTCCTCCAGGGCCCCAGATTGATCTGGGCATCTTGACATGCAGAAGCGTAGGCCTGCAGAGAAGAACACAAGGCAGAGCGGTTGCCCTCTTTTACACACATGTTATACAGGCAATTCCTGAAGAAGGGTGAGGGGTTGACAGCTGAGTGGCAAGCAAGGAAAGAACTATTCCCTGGGTCATTTATGTTGCCGCAAAGCCATGGGCTCTGGTATAACCGCAGGTCTGTGCACATGCGGTACAGGTCATCACAGTCACCATTGCATGTCAGGTCATCAGCAATGGCCCTCCAGCCTTCAACGAACTGGTCAGCTGTGTCAGCCTGCCTTCCACTTGGCAGACGGAAGTCATCAGATGGGTCTCCATTAAAGAAGCCACAGAGGCCACAGGTGGAGTTGTAGAAGACAGTGGAGAGGGTGATATTGATGAAGCCTTGGCGGGAGTAACGAGCACTAATTAGACCGGTCCATTCCACTACAGTAGTATTACCGGAAGCACGGTACACCATAAGAGGTTCCAGTGGGTGGACATATGGAAGGACCACTGGCTCACCGTTTAACTAAAGAGAGAGGGGAGAGATGTCATCATTATGTGACCTCATGTGCTGAGCTAGTTTAGCAGTGTGCTAAACTAGACATAAGCCAAGAAGTACATGTCTAACAACAAAGGCTTACAGAAATATGTTCTATGTTAGAAATAAGGAACATAGAACACAGAAATATGTTCTATGTTCCTTATTTCTAACAGCACACAAAATCTGAGAAATTGTAATTTTTCCAATGAAATGCAGACTGTACAAACCTTTACGAGGTCGAAATCAGAGCCACCTATCTGTGTTTCCAGGTGTGCAACCCTGATAACTACAGGCCTTATCCAGGTGGGACCCTTATTCACCAACTTCCTTCCAATCTTCACCTCCACTGCTGACACATTGACCGGCAGTCGGCCCAAAGTCTTCACTAGGTAGAAAGAGCTCTCGTCTGGGAATGGCATGGATGAACCATCGAACGTAGACAAGACGTGTGTCTGAGACAGTGAACACACAGCCTCTCTACGAGGGTAACACCCTAGCAACCCTACTTCTGCTGTGCATACCTCGCCCTCTCGACAGGAGTCATTAAAGCAGGTGACTTCACCCACTGGGCCACACACGCAGCGCTGGAAACACTCGCTGCCCACCTCTCCCCCCTCACCTGCCCAGAAGGTCTCATTAAGGGGGTAGTAGAGGCCATCGCGCTCACAGCCACATTCAGAGCGTCGTACACATCGGCTGCCACTCAGCACAAATCCCTGATCGCACTGGCAACCTTCTGTACATGGATGTGTGCAGTACAGGTGAGAGGTCAGGTCTGAACAGGAGGCTGGGCAAGCACTGGTGCAGACCTGGTAGTGGCTGTTCTCTGGGCATGTCAAAGCTAAGATCCAGTGGAGGAAAAGAGATATAGAGAGTTTTCATTGACCATTGACTTAAAGCCATAATCAATATAGATAGAAACAAGATCTTATTCTTTATGTAAGCAACATGAAGTAACTTACCACAGAAGGAACGTGACCTCCAGGGTCTGATGGTGACCCCCAGTGCCTGACAAGCCAAAGCATATGCCTGTATAGCCTGGCAAAGTGTTGTAATATTGTCTCGATTGCTGCACATATCATACACACAGCTGTAGACAAATGCAGTGGGGTCCACCACAGCCCGACAATCTCTGAAAGGCCCATCAGTCTTGTTAATGAGGCCGCAGTAGTCAGGCCGAAAGTAGAAGGCTTCAGCAGCTGGTTCACATAAGCTGCAGTTCTGGGCACAACCATCTGTACAGCGGAAATCAGTGTCCTCTGCGCGCCAGCTACCACCCAACTCAACAACACTCTCCGCTAGTGAACCATCTGGCAACACAGGGTCATCAGCAGGGTCATCATTGTAGTTACCACACAGGCCGCAAGTGTTATTGAAGTAGGAGCTGGGGAGGGAGATGGAAGCGTAGTGCTGCCCATCGTATGTTACTAAGAGACCAAAATCAGTTTCCAAAGCAACTGCAACACCAGACTGGTACACCTTGACAGCACCTAGCTGGAGTTGGACAGGTAGAGTCTTCAAGAGGCTGTCCACCTGAAACCATAAATACAAGTCCTGAACACAAAATATACTACTGTAAAGACATAAGCTCATAACTTATCATTTTGTTGGCCATTTCCATTATGGCACCTTCTGCAAGAAGATTGTGATCCCATTTTAAAGGGATAAAACCAGGATGAAAACTCACTTGTACAGTGCCTAACGTTCCTTTGGGCAGCGTGACTCTATGTCCATACACCTCCACAGTGACATCTCTTAGCCAGGACACAGAAGCCATGCCTCGGTTTTCATTCTTGGCTTCGACGCTGAAAGATGGGAGACCAGGCACCTCCCAGCAAGGACGTGCCAGTAGATATGAACAGGTACCCTGCAGGGTTAGGAAAAATGAAGATGTCTTAATGTTGTAATAATAAAATCTAATCTTTGGTCTTATCTAATTTAAAGTCATTCACTAATGGCAAGTATTAAAACTGTCTGCATGTGAGTAGTCAAGTTAATGCTAGACTGGGACATGACAAACAAGGTAGGCAGTCAGTGTTTGTATTGCTGTATTATTAAATCACTTGCTTGTGATCTTACTTGGAAGTGGTAGAGGAAGCCATCAAAAGTGTGGTAGTGTGGGTCTCCAAACACTACACAAGTGCTGGTTCGGGTGGGTTGACAGTAGTAGGCCCCCTCTTGCTGCTCACATGTCTCCAACTGGCCACATGGAGCCTCCTGGCAGATGACCTCATTGTCCACATCCAAACATCTGCAGCGCTGAGAACATTGGTCCGACAGCCAAAATACCTCCCCACGTCGATAATACCGCCCTGAACATGAGAGAGGAGTTGGTGTCTTTACTTAAGATAATCATTAAACTTCTATGATACTGTTGAAAAATCTGACAGAACTCATGCAAATCAGTATTGGACTAGAAGAAGCAAGGAAAAGACTTAGATAGGAATATGTACTATATAAGTGTAGGAAACTGAAAAAGAGTCATAGAGATCCACAACAAGTCGCCAGCACTCAAATAAAAAATGAAGGTACTCAAGGATCAGAAGAAAAAATGAATTAATTATTATGTATTGAATAAAGCAGAACATTCAATGTCTAGACTTGTTTGTTCTACCATTATAGCTGCAGCCATTGGCTGGGTCTATCTGGTCTGCATCGACACGGAAGAACCAGCGGCCAGGCATGTTGACATTTGTTGTCTGCTCAATATTGACCACTTCGTTTGAGCGGGAGCCAGGCAGGTTGAAGAAGTGGCTAACATCTCCACCATTGAAACCTGACTACAGAGGTCAACAACGGGCAAGATATCAGACCTAAGGAATTGTGTAATGTTTCACACTTGTTTTGAGTAAATCCCCTTCACAGTTATTATCTAACCATCTGTTATGATGGTTTTCACAAAATTTGATACCTTTGACTAAGAAATGATATGCCACAAATTCCCTTAAAAACACAAGGGTACCTGTGCAGTTGTTCCTCCCAGGCCAGTAAGAGGGTCTCCCCCACTAGCTGTCCCTGTGCTCCATGTGATTTCTCCATAATTAAACATGGCAAAGTATGACGCTCCATCTGAGATTAATACTGACTGGAATGTGTTCACCTGTGACAAGATAAAACACTTTCTTTAGTTTGTGATTAAGTGCATAAAAACAGGGCTTGTGTCAATCAATGTATTCATATACATCAGATTTCAGTAACTCAGAAGGCATCAGGTACCAAAGTTTCTTTTATTAAAAGTCATTGTAAAGATTCTCTTTTATCAAATAGTGGATCTACAGCAGCAGTGCTACCAGTGGAAGGCTACTATCAGTACTGATAGGAAACGCCATGCTGTGTTTGTGGCTATCCGATTTTGTAGTGCAAGATATGTATTTATTTGCATCGCTGCTAAATGAAAGGTTATAAAAGAAACAGATAGGAGAGTTTCTTTCTTTTCTTTACCGGTGTTGTCTGGCTGCCTCCATAGAAGGTGACCTGGTTCCAGGTGGTGATGAAGGCCCAGGTGGCAGTGAAGGATGGCATGTTCTTGAAATATTTCCTGACGTCCTGAGTAGCTCTCTCCAGGATCTCTGGCTCTGTCACCTCACGGTAGTACACATCTCCGCGAATACCATTGTGCACGTCGGCCCATAGGGGAGCGATAAAGGACCGGCTGTCGCTGAGGGGGAAAGCCTCAGGAGTGAATTGGCTCACCGGAATGTTGAAGGAGATCACTCCGTTGTTGTTAACCTGTGAGGTAAGCACTGTTAGTCAACAAAATGGGTACTATCGTTGTTAGCGTTAATTGATGATAGATTATAGGATAGATGATAGATTTGAATGGGTTATATACACCATATTATGATGTAATATGTTTGCATAATATTAAAGTGAAACTGAAGCAAATACAGTGATAACTTACATATAGTGAGCGGTATGGGACATTGAAGAAGATAAATGGAATTAGTAGAGGAATTTCTGTTGAACTGCCATCATCCATCTTTGGGGTTTCTACGTCCCTAAAGGCTGGTCCAAAGGGATAGAGGGTATCCTGAGAGAAAGCTATGCAGAGAACACAAGAAATACACTGGTTACATTGTCCATTACAGAAGTTAAGATATATGGAAAATATATCTTGGCTAGTTGGAGACAGGGACATTTAAACAAGGCCTGATCATCAAGAGATTTAGCTCTATCTTTATCCATTAATGCAGCTACACATTTATTTTTCACATCTCACGACGTGACTGCAATGTTATTGTTAATCATGCTAAGTTATTCAGATTACGAAGCAGGATGCTGCTCACAGAAAGAAGGGAATTCATTAGCAGAAAATAGCATGACTAGGATGACTCACCTCCTCCAGGAGCAAGAGTGCTGAAAAGCTGGAGTAGAGAGACTAAAGTGCTTGTTTTGACCATCCTAAAGACCTAAAGCACACATACATAGAACTTAAAATAGTTTGTCAACAGTAGATTTCTGCAATGCTAAAATGATGGTGGCCTACCAAATGTCAAATGGCCTTAGGGCATAAGTCATTTTCAAATAACATATGCTCTACGTGTGAACTGATCCATTAAGTACTTATAAAAGGACATTAAAAAGGCAAATAGACCAAGTACAGTCCCCCCCTCTAATCTTCCCTAGTTTTAAGAGCAGTCTCCCAGGTCTCCCATGGGGCTTTCTCCCCCTTTCTCCCCCGCCATGGTGGGCCTGTTGGCCCTTTGCTGAAAAGGTCCCATTATGTGATAGGGAACAATGTGTGGGGATCACGTTCACCAGCACTTCTGTGTGAGTGGGCTATGGAGGAGCAGTTCTAGGCCTCTACGTTGCCAGTGAGCTTGTGGCTGGGACTCAAACTGACCGCTCTACATCGTCTGGAGGGGTCCATTACCGTGTGTTTGTGTGCCATGTCTCATTGGCTTCAGAGAAGGGGCGTGAGCAGTTCAGCTAATGGGTCTAATTGAGAAGGCTTGAGTTGCCATGGTCTTTTTTGAAAACCCTTAGGGGCCCAAGTTTGAGTTTCGCTCCCCTTGAAAATTTTTTTCAGCCTTATGATGAAATTACTTTTGTTTGACTGAATATAAGTAAACGCAATCTCTATCTTATTATTGCCACATAATAAGACAATGTTACAGTAGTAGAGTACTAAATACCCCTTAAAATACATTGAAAGGTGGAAATCTAGGTCTAGATAATTCAGATTTACACTCATGCCTCAGCAGACCAAACCCTTTGCTGGATTTAATATTACCATCATGCAAACACTTTACCACCCAGATAGTAGAAAGTTAAGTGTGGTTTCATACACTGTTCACCTTTCAGCCTTAGCACCATAATCAGACATGAAGAAACTGAGTGATGTTAGTTTGCACATTTCCAATGAGTGATTCACTGCCTCAGTTTATTAAATTTTGACAAATGAAAATCTTTGAAACTTTGAGATATATTATATAATTACATTTATTTTGATTGTGAATGCCCATAATTGATTCAGGATTGTATTTACATGCAGTTAACCAGTCACTTACATCCAATTGCGACAACTATAGCTGATTTGACTGTTGGGGAGGTGTCTAACATTATTTACATTGTTTCAGCAGCCATCTCCAAAAAGGCTCTTAAACATTTTCACATTAGTATGAAAATCAAGTATGAATGACACTGAATACTTGTACTCTTTGTTAAATTTCTAAGAGAAAGAAAATACACTTTTTCACATTTTCATTTAGACCTTCAAAGTACTCACCAATCAGCATTGATACAGTGATATGAATGCAAGTTTATGTGTGGGTGTAAGTGTGTTTGCATTTTAGAGCATTTAAGAGTTTGTTGAAAAGGGTAAAGACAAGCCAGGCATTTCATATCCACAATTATAATTAATTTAATGTAAAACTTTAATGTATGTTTAAAAGTAGGTACTTTTGACTTTCAAGTATATTTTTATACCATACTTCCACTTTTAATTGAGTAGGATTTACACAGTCCCCATACTTTCACTTATGTAAATTTCTCTGTACTTTTTCCACCTCTGGATATTTATATAATTTAGTTGTTTCTATTTATATTAACCTATTTATCTCACATCTTTATAGATTACGGTCATCTCATTTCGATTATTTAGATTAGCAGTAGATTGCTCAGATCTGCTCTCTATTGTAGTTCCTGCTGATAAAGCATCATAAATTAGTCATAACTTTCCATTCAGTTTGTACTGCTGTTGAACTGCTGAAACATAGCACACTATTACAGTAATATAATCTACAGCACTGAGCATATGTCTTCAGATATCTGACAAAATTATATGTAAAGCTATTTATCTATCCACTAAGCATTTATTTAATCAAAACACTGACATTAGAATAAATGCAAATAAACAAATAAATAATACATTGTGATTTGATGTGAGTGTTAGCTAAACAATTTTCAAACCTCTCCTTAGTTACCATCCGATACTTAGTTTTGCTAATCAGTCTGTCATTTCAGGTGTGCTGCTGATGACATTTAATGCATTTATCCATTATGGCTTGAGTGCACTGAGAAATCAGGAACCAAATTTGTGTTCTTCTAACTGTATGTCTTTTAAAAACAACAAAAACCTTGCCACTGCATTTGTTTATTTGTGTCACATTGTAAACACACTTTCTGCTGAAATAACCAATTTAAAACAAGTTCCTTCTATGCCTAAGACATGCACAGTACTGTATACATAGAATGATTAAAGTATGATTGAGTATCTCATAAAAAGCAAAATATCTGTTGTTACTAATGATTATTTATCGTAATGAGATCTTTATCATCATGTTCAAATGATAAAAAAATGATATAGTGCTGCACTCTGTTTTGCTAATTAGATGTCTTTTTTATCAGTGTATAATTAGAACTAGTTTTGGAATGACAGTGATCACTTCAGTATTGCCATGAATATCTCACTGGGCGCACAATATAGGTATTAAATTCATACAGTGCAGTCTGTAACACACTGTACGTCAATGGACAATAACAGGTTTTTTTTGTAGTTTTGCATTCCAGCACACTGGATTTGACATGACACATTGTTATTTTAAAGTGCAGAATGGCAGCTTTAGTTCATGGGCATTTATATCTATATTGGTTGAACCATATAAAACTCACAGCCTTTTATGCATAGTTCTTGCCTTTCAGGGGACCAAAAGTGATTTGGTCAAATGAACATAATCTTAAATGATATTTAAGCAGTTTGCAATGGGTGAATGCTTGCTTTTTACCGTGCATCTTATCTTCAGTAATTGAAATGCATCCACAATGAGATGATTAGCTCAGCATGAACATTTAACTTTTTTGCCCCAAAAACTTTAGATTTGAGCAGTTAAGATACTTCAGTGCCCTCCAGAATTCCTGCTGCTCTCATCAACAGTCACATCATTATCAAAAACAAGCAAACCAGTTCTCCACTCACAGCATCTTATTTCAACACTGTGTTTCGGATTTTGAGTTAATCTATCACTCCTTGGTAAACTATGTGTTTGCAATTACTAAGCTTGCCATCACATTCTTGCTTCTTATTTGGCTGTATTTTAGGTAAGGTGATTTCTAGTCATATCATGGCCTGCTTTACTGACATTGGACACTGACTGCTTTGGTGCAAGGTCCTGTAAAATGGAGCTATGTATAAAAAGGGCTATAATTCTTATACAGTTCACCCAATATACACTTAAATTAAAGCTGACATTCAGAACTTTAACAGTAATTGTTTCATTTCAGACCCAGTGTGCTGAAGTACATAGTAAAAGACACAACAAAAGTTGTGTTTATGGTCTGTATTGTATTTGGTTATTCATTAATAACAATAATGTCGTTGAGGTTTTAATCAGTTGTTGATTAATTCACAGTTCCAGCTGCATTTCAGTAATTCTCCCAGCTACACCTGGACAGCAGACATTAGATATACAGAACAGATCAACTAACTAGTATTTAGACAGTGGGCCATAAGTAGTCATTGCATAAACCTTAAAGAGCAATAGGATTCCTGGATTATTTTATTGATGTCGCTGTCCCTCAAGAGAGAGCAGTGAAGCATCTCTTCTTCTTACAAATGAGTACATATCCCCACCTTCCAACATAACTGAAACCTAGTCTTCCAGAGAGAGTGTGCTGCTTAGACCACATGCTCATGTCTGATGTTCTCTGTGATGAAACCGAATGAGGGCGAAATTGGTGTTTGATGGCAATCCCAAGTGCACCACAAGAGATTGTAAGAGATGCCAGAGAAGTAAATCCATCTCTTTGCATAAGCTGACAGGGTTCAGTTGGCTAACCCCACGAGAAACTGATCTCTAACAAGTTGTCTTCCCTGACGACACATCGAGACTGACATTAATGCCAAACATAGATGTTATCAAAAACACTTGGGTACTTATTGGCAGATAAAACTGATGATTTACATATTCACACATTACGTGTGATTCTAAATGGAAGAGAGAAAGGGGGAGAAAGAGAGGGTGAGAACCTGGACATCTCCTATTAGAGATAAAGAAGGAAGGACAGACTCTGCTTCTTACAGTCCTGTCTTAAAAGACTACATGATGACCCGTCTATTGCTCACAAATCAACTGGTTGTGAGATTACACTAGAGGGGACAGGGCAAAGGTAAGTATCTACTCACCTGCCTTCAAAGGATGGAAGCTCAGCACCTCACCTGTGGCATCAGCCTTCCAGTCCCATCCAACTGGGTACCATCCACACAGCTTCAGGAGTGGAGGGGTTCTGTGCTGGGACAGAGGGGAAAGGGAAGGGGAGGGGGGTGCGTGCCCAAGAAAACCCTCCTAAATCCCCCTCACACAAGAGCGCTCTACTGGTCCAAGTCCGCAGGATTACCGAGGAGAGCAGGAGTAGTGAACCCAGCCCAATCCGAGCCTGCGGTGCTTGTTTGATTTTCAAGGAGGCGAAAGCCTGGAGAAAGTGATCCCAGGATGAGAGAAGAGGAAAGTGAATGTTTGTGTGAGTTCCTTTACTGCCGTGCTGGAGGGAGAAGCCACGGAGGCAGGCACTACCTTTTGCACTGCAGATAGTGTTAAAGTTAATCTGAGATCCTTATTTTCTTTTTTTGGGAAAGGGGAAGATGGGAGAGGGAGGGGTGGAGGGGATGGAGAAAGGGGGTGAGACTTTTTTTGGAAGAGGGAGGGAATGAGAGGAGAGCAAGAGAGGAGTGGTGAAGACAGAAAGGGAGGGTAAAGAAAGAGGAAGTTGACCAATGATGGTTAGTGGTAGGTAAGTAAGTAAGGGGAAATATTGAAACAGCTCTGGTCAGAACAAAGAGGATTTCTGAAGAAAATGTCAGACCTCTGGAGCAGAACCCAGTTCCCTAAAAAACAGCTCTCTCCATAGGCCCTGTACTGTCCACAGCATCCCTTCAAGCAAGCGTAAAGCTCTTCTGCTCACCCTTGTGGCATTTATTTACAAAAGAAAACAAGACAGAAAAATAGTCTCTTTGTTTGTAAATATAAAGAAGGGGTAGCTAGAGTTACGGCATTAACATGAGTCAATCAGGACACTCAATATGTATGCGTGTGAGTCAACGACTGTTTGTGTGTGATGCGTGTGAGTGCTCCCCCTCCTGTTCTGCTTGGTTCCCTACACTAATTAAGGACAGTCTCATTTACGGCACACATAAGGCCAGGTCAGTCTCAGAGGGAGTTGATTTCCATAGATCTGGTGCTAAGATAGAACCAAAAGGCGGGGAAATTACTGGTGAATCCGTGGTGATAGGGTCTGGGAAGGAGATGGGAGAGAGATGGGAGTCAGACGCAGCTTTGTTCACAGAGGGACAGTAGAGGTAACCAGAGACCAGAGAGGGGCTGGACGTGTGAAAACCTGCTGGACAGAACGCCAAACCTGGATTCCCTATGACCAACGTGGGAGTCCCAGAGGAGGATTCTTTTACACCTTGTCGCCTTGTTGTGTAAATGCACCCATATTCTTAAATCAATCTGCTGTGCAAGAAGGCAGAAAAGATACAATAAAGTTCCAGCTAGCAGGTTCAACTCTTGACTTATCCTGAGCCGGTGTGAATGGATGAAGTACGGATGGGAGAGGAAGACGTGGCACGAGAGAGTGAGACTGTGATTCCTATCTTCTCACCATCTTGTCTTCCTTACAATGTAATGAGTTTGCTAATAAGACATATCGTCCCGTGTCTTTTCTCTCCATCTTTCTCTCTTTCTAGAAAAGCAGCTTGGTGCTTGTGCAAAAGGTCAGCTCAACCGAAATGGCTCTGCGTTGTCTGAACCAGTTTCTGTCCCACAAAAGACAGGCTGAGACGTTAGCGATAAGCACTAACTCTACTGTTTGGGTGTAGGAGTCAAGTGTCTGATTAAACGCAGCCACAAATCATCAGCCCCATCAACCACCTGCCAACCAAACTTGGCAGATCAAAATCAGGCTGACTGAGTTACCATAATGTCAGCAGGCACAACGAAGAACTGTGGAGGCAAGGAACCGGTTCCGTGGGAAAGGGGTCAAATGTGTTCTGGAGCACCAGTGTTGTCACAGCGTTCTGGTAGGTCTACCAGGCCTGACCCTTGAAGGGGGAGAAGGTCCTGGCCAGGAACCCAGATGGGTCATCCAATATCTCCATTTCCATCCTATCCCCCAGTCTGTTGCTTAACAGTTGGTCCTGCTTTTCTTTCCTTTCGTCCACAATGTCAACCCCCATCAGGTAACTCAAACCTCTACCAAAAATTACTCCCTCTCCTGGCCACACAATGAGTCTCCTTCAGCCCTTCATGCCCTCTCCCCAGCTTTGTGGTGCTCTGGGTGGATCAGGCTACCAGCAGCCCAGCCAGAAGACGTTTGCTTTTGGTACAAGGGAAGGTATAAAAAGCTTTCTTAAAGTCCCCACTATTCCAAAATGTACTAAGTCCCACAGCCACCCCCTTTCTGTGGCCTTTCTTTTGTGGTCTGCCCCTGCTTTCATGGCCTGGTAACCCCCTGTCTGACTACCACTTTCACTCTCCCTCCAGATCACCATGATACTTGGTCTTGCCAGGCTGATGGTGAACTCTGACTCCTGCTTTACTCGGAAAGACTTTTGCTGCCTGATAGGGAAGCCACTAAAGAGGTGGGAGTTTTTTAATCTGTGATGACAAGTGGTGTAGGTGTGTTAGTGTGAGTGAGTTGCCAGATTGGGCACGTGTGGCTCTCACCTGTAGGCGTGACAGCGCTAGTCCAGCCCCTCTTAGCACCTCGGGCCTTGGTGACACAAATTAAACCTGATTATTTTTTCAGCCAAGTTGTTGCACTGATCCAGGAGGCAGGCATGCAGGTAACTGGAGGACTGGATGGGCTCCAGTTGGATAGTAGTTTGCCTGGGGTAAGGTCTTCACTGTGGCTTGTCCCTGGTGTCTGAGGACAAAAAGTGCTAGCGCAGCTAAAACCATCTGCTCTGTGGAGAAAGACCATGCTAATACCAAGGAATCTGCTGAGACAGTACTAGTCTTTGATAAATGTATAGAATGTTTATTTATAAACTAGATTTTAAAGGCATACCCATGCCAGTACCAACTTAAAAGGAAGTTGAACCTTTATGACATGTGGCAAACTTTTTAATCACATTACAGAGGTAGGCAAATGTAGCATTAGGAGTCTTGCAAAGGGAGTCTTGTTGATGCAGTGTGATGCAGTGTCTGCCCAGGTAACCACTTCACAATATCAACAATGAACCAGATGAATTGCTCCCTTTCAGCATCTGAGCTTTCACAACCTTTAAATGTAAAATGTTGCAGAACCATTTTGGGTTTTATTTAGTGTGTCCCTGCACAGGTAACCCTTTTTGACATGAGCCAGAATGAATGCATGAATGCATATGACACCTACATAAGCATGAATGCATATGACACCTACATAAGCTAAACTTACATAAATGTTTATAGACGCTTATTCCAACAGGCATCATTTGCTATAAGGGTTACATTTGTCAATTTTAATCAAAGTTGGCTAAAGTAGACTTTTTGACAGATGACACCTACTGGAATAAGCACTGATAAACATTTATGAGTTATGTCAGTTGCCATGACATGCTTATGTAGGTGTCATGTAGCCTTATGAACAGTACCCTACAGTAAAGTGTTACAAAATTATGCTATTCACATTTAGATTATATTAAACCTCATTAAGAGGTGGTTATTACATCCAGTTAAGAACATTAAAAAGCTGGAGAGATGGTGGACAGCAGTTTATTTTTTAATTAGCATCTCTTCAACAGACTTTTACAGAAAAACAAGAAAGTGTACAACAGCATTCATTTTACTACTGATATCACACATAATGGCAAAAAAACAATATGAACATCAAGATATTCAGAGATGTGGCACTATTGTAACAGCCCTGGAATCAGAAACGCAGCCAGGCTAGAAAGACCTAGCAGTGACAGGGTACACAGTAGTGCTTGCTCCCTTTTCACCAGCTAATCAACACTTTGGTTTCGGAGTATGGGAGAAAAGCCCTCTGGGAGTTGTTCTGAAAAGGCTTAGTATCAACACCATATCTAGAGCGAAACACAAACAACGAACCACTGTAAAAGAAGCAAAGAGGCAAAAGGGAGGCAACTCAGAGACCTGAAAGGTCTGGAGAAAGCTAATAGACATCACTGATTAACAGACGTGGAGAGAATACATGCAGCTGTGGTGACGCACCAGCTAAAGAACCATTGGTAAGTATTAGCATGATTCACAAAGTAACATGAGATGGCAATAAGACTGATCTAATCAAACACCAAGCAAAGTGACAAAGGTGAATCAGTAATAGTATGTCATAATCAAAGGATTAGGGGCAAAAATGATTTCAGATGGAACTCAAATGGCAGTGATGGAAGATGAATGAGTCATTGATAAGACAACAGTGGTTGGTCCATTTGTTGGTACAGAGCAACAGTAGCTGTTTAGTTCAAACTGAAACTGATCAAGGACCAAATTGAGAGAACATATGGGCCACTAATTGGACAATAATGTCTGATCAGTGTTACACTGAGACAAAGTGTGCAACAAACTCCATGCATGCTCTTGCCCCATCAATAGAGATAACATACACTCTTAATGGGTCTTGAGCTCTCTGTTAACACTCTTGTCTAGTGTAGGGTTGCATAGGGTTGCCTGTAACTGGAGAAGGGGCTGCACCCCATATCACCTCAACCAGGATTAGAACCACTTTGCTGGGAAATGATAGAGGAGTAGAGGGTCAAGGCCTGGTAATCCAAAACCTAAGATGTATAGACTGGCATGCAGTGATTGTATTAAAAAGAGACTTCACAGATGGAGCTGAGAAGGGAATACAACAGCAATCTTGTATTATTGGTAATTGTTATTGAAATTAAGGTCAAATGTCTCACAAGCTCATACATGGTAACAAGTGAAATGCTTACGTAACAAAACAAGTATCTCCTGAAGGCAAATGACTTGGCTGAAATGCATCTGTGTCTTGTCTCCTTGAACACAGATCATTTGGAAGATAAGTGAAGTAAAGGATAGAATCTGAACAAAACATATTATCTACTTAATGAAAATGCTTAAAATCTTAAAATTTGTCAGACAAGATTTTTTCATTATTATTATTTTATTGTATTTTTATTATATATTTTTTATCATTTATAGTAATATTAAACCTATTATACACATAAACCTATACCAAATCCTTAAGAAGCCTTTAATAAAATGAGTTCTCTGAACTTTTCATCATACAACTCATGCACGCACACATACACACACTAATTGAGCCCATAACCTGCATATACTGTAAAATAAATGAGAAGCTATATCTCCTTGGAAAAGTACATTACATTTGGCTGCAAGCCACTGCAATTAAGTGCAGTTTCATTTACAATAGTTCTTATTTTTCCCCAATGTGAGCCAAACAGTCACTAGGCACACAGTCTTATTCATGCACCAGGGACAGGGAACATCGATCTAGAGGACCAACAGCGGTAAAAAATGCTTCAAAGGTGTCTCTGCTCAAAAGGACGAGAGAGGTAAAGGGGCTCAGTGGCTGAATATCAGATAACTTGATTCTTCTTGATGTAAAGCCTCACTGCAATCAGTTACTGGTCTTAAAGGGGAATTCCACCAATTTTGCAAAATTTCTGCATAAAAAAAAAGCTAAAGATGTCAAAATCTTTCAGAATGGTTTGATGTGAAAAGTTCCATTCTAGAAAAACTTCCCAAAATTGTTCACAATGGTGACGATGGGAAACAGACATTTGAAGAGTACAATTGAAATAACAGTAACAGTAATAATTTTGTGATGACGTTTTGGCCTGTTTTTGTTTTCATTTCATGGCAGAGAAGTACATGCAGAGTGTTGTAAGGCAAAACTGTTCCCAAAGTAAACATATTTTTCTGGATTTATTACTGTTTTACCATTTTCTGCATATAAAAAGTCAGGGTAGGTTCACTGGTCTTTTTGCATGGTAAATAAAATGGCTATAACTACAATGTGGACATCATAGCCCATTGTTCCTTATCACCACCACTGTAAAGAAATAAGAGTCAGCAAGTTTCTCTACAGTGCACCATTTCACATCAAACCACTCTGAATTATGCAAGAACTTAGAAAAATCTGTGTAATTCCCCTTAATAATGGAAGCTAAAAAGGGACATACAAATTTCATGTGAAAAGACATGTAAGCCCAGAGGGCTTTTGGGTGGGCAACCGTAATGTTACCCAAGCAGAAAGAGTGTCCCCCTGCCATGTTACTATTGTCTAGGGTCTACTGTGCACCTCCCCATTCCCTCAACAACACTCTAAGCTGACTATTCCACTGCATCCATTCATCATACAGGGATAGGATGCAGGAAAATCTCCCCTTCTCTACTAGCCTTTTGTCTGACAGTCCTTTATTCTACATGACTGGACGTAAGGATTTTTGCAGCTCATGGCTTGGTGCTATAAACAAATTATACAGGCTTATGCTAGCTGCTAGAACATTAGCATTCTCTGGTGCTTTATGCTGGGGCAGCTGGAGTGGTAATAAGAGCTTATTACTGAATTAAAAAAACTTGGTGTGTTTAAAACACTCCAGTAATGTGGATTCTGTAGAATAAAATAGTGTGTGTGTGCTTCAGACTGCTTTGTTTCATATAGTGCTTATAACCCAAAGGGCAGTTGTCTTGAAGGTCCCGTGTACTACACATCATTACTAGTGGAAAACACTCTTTGGAACTGCAAATTGAGTGAGATTATTTGTTATTCCTGAGAAGCAGTCTCACACACTCACATGTTTGCATAATTTGAGCAACTACTAAGCAATTAAAAGCTTAAATCTTGAAAAAAAACGCACCAGTGTCTAAACATCACTTCTCTTCACAAGAGATAGTGTCTGAAGAATTGAGGAAAGAATGTGCCCCAATTCAGAGCATCTTTTAGTGGACTTCTGTTTTTGATGGAAAGGAATAGGACTCCCAATGTCAAGATAGTATACAGTCAGCTTTTAGAGCAAGCTAAACTCTCTCTCCTCAATTCCCCACAACATCTGGTTCACTGAATTATGCATTACTTCGGAACGCATAGTTCACACTGGCTTTATTTGGGAGACCTTATCCCTCTTGCTTCTGTCTTGACAATCAGCCAAATCAACTGTTCCCTTTTTCCAAGTAGCATCCATATTATGGCATCCCTTGAATCACTTGGGCACCACCAGGATCTCGTCTCCATCCCGTATGCTGTAAGAATGGAGGGCTCGGCCTCCATACTTGAGCTCCTGAGGTGCTAGAGCATAGCCTAGCTGCCGATCAACATAGTAAACACGCATCTTGTTAGCTGGCAGCTGCAACACGGGCCTGAGCTGCTTCTTTAAGTCAGCCACAGTCTGGTCCAGCCGGAGCTCCAACTGCTCAGAGTGGTCGCCAAAACGTAGCTCCACCTGGGCAGAGCTCAATGGTCGCAGGTCCACGTCCGCCAGTGGCGCCAGGCGCCCGTAACGGGCCACCAGAGTGTGAAACCTGGAAGAAGCAAAAAAAATGAAAGCAGCTTGATCAAGACCTGAATCTTCTCACTGAAAATATCTGATTTGCACAATTTTTCCTTTACTCCAAAGTTGATCAGCCAAGATGTGTTTGCTTCTTCAGTTTTAAACGGGGGCTACAAGGGTACTGTAGCTAACATGTAATGGATCACCAATTACCACCGTGCAAACTACACTATATTATGTATACATTATGTACTTACATTTTTAAGTAATCTCAAATAGGCACTGTATGGTATACTCTATAAAATGAACGAAAGCACATTGCAGAGCTGAAAACAGTAATCAGCCATTGTGAAGTCTTAATTTAGCCTCTACACAAATGGGAACTGAAAGCACACTGATGTACTCAAGAAATCAAATGTACCCCAACCAAATGGGCACCTAATAAAACAGAATAAAATTCCTGATGGGCCAACATGACATTGAAAAAATTCGAATACATGGTATGTATTGAAGAGGCTGGTCTCAGGATCTGTGGACCTATGTTCTGTGATGTTCAGTGAAGTGTTCAATACCATCTAGTTGAATCTGTAAGACCGCACAGGCTGCAAGTATCTGGAAAGCACTAATGACAGAAGACTTGACTTTGACTCACTTTTATGGTTGACACTGAGATGAGAATGAGTACATTTGTACATTACTTGCATTACTTACATTGAAATTCTTTGTATGTTTCTCCATTTTTTTTTCGTATTTTTATTTTTTTGTTATAACTCCCATTTCGTTTATGTCGCCACATCATTTCACTACGAATTTAGGGTAATTCCATTAGCCTGCGTCACAGCCTGCCTCTCTGGAAGTCTGCACCTATAACTGCAAATCAGCATTTTAGCATAGCTGCACCAGTGGAGACACACAAAAAAAGAGGTTTGTACATCACTCACACACACACACATTTTCCAAGCTGATTATCCTTCTGGGTTGTTGGGGAGTTTATTCAAAGAGAACTCTTTCAAAACTTTGTGAAGGACGTGTCTTCTGAGGATGTGAATAAAATTATCTACTATTGTCATCATATTTTCAGTCTTGATTTTGCATCTGAGCATCTAATTCCGATCAAAACATTAAGTCGGACCTTTCTGAGCCTGTGCTTGTGACGTTAATACATAAAGACATATGGCGTGGGCTGAAAAACAGCCTCCAAATACATCCAGTACCTCTAATTTTTAAATTGTTATTTCAGGGATGACTTGCAGTGACGCATGCACACAACATTTTAGTGTGTTCTTTTTTCCCCATATTAAGCAATGCTACTTCTTTCATTTTTAACAAAAAATATTACAAAGTGCTGCTTTAACTGTGGCTTTAACTGGTATTTTTTGGCACTGTAGTGAGTGGATTTATGGCTCTGCACCACTCATAGTGTATTTGTGTACCTGCTTGTGTTTGTAAAGCACAAGGAGTTCTCTTGCCGTGAGAAAGTTCTCAAATCCCGCCCCCCCCACCAACTTAGTGAAGGATTGTGGGAAAGATAAGAGGGATACGAGCAGGAATGATTCAGTAAAATCTAGGAAGGGGCTGCGGGTGCTGTTTTTTTTAAGCGCTACAGTACGGGCCGAGCCAATCAAAGTAATTTCCCTCTCAGCCTGCCGAGAAAAGTGTCCCCACAAAGCGGAGGCCGAGCGTGGGTAGGTGCCTGCGGCTCCGAGCCTTCGCCATGGGAATACTGCCCCGTCCATACAAAGTGCCACTCTGTCTGATGGGGGAAAAAAGCAAGTCTTGCTCAAAGGTCTCATTTAGCCAGGGCTAAGCTCTCTTAAATGCAGGGGAAATCGCATTGGCGGTGATAACACGGCTGCCCTGAATTCCACCCACACACCGTTCTCTGATCAGCCCCAGAGATGAGACTGGACAATAGCTAGTGGAAAGTACAACGGGTTCATACCAAGAGATATACAGTGAGTCTACTGTAGGTACTGTAATACAGTAACCGATGGAGCTTACAGACAGAGAAAGAGACATAAAGAGAAAGGATACAGTGACTTGTCTCCCTTAGTGAGGACAGAACGATGACACAAATGATGGGGTTGGCTTTCGGCTAGATAACTTGTCATGGGAGACTGTTAATGCATCACTGGTTCAAGATGTACATTTTTGTGAATATGAGGACATCCAAGTCTAAGTTATGTTTAGAACAGCAAATCTTGATTAAAAAAAATGTCCTTTAACTTAAGAAATTGATTGCATGATAGGATATGTTCTATAATTCAGTCTCCAGTTCTGTGCTCAAACACACCTACTAAACTTCGTAACTAAGTGCTGGTGTGTTTGAGCAGGGAAATAATCAACGTTTGCTGGACTAAGGCCCTCCAGGACCAGAGCTGGACATCCCTGCTCTAATCTTTGAACTTTCCTATTGATGAAAAATGTTGACTTGGACTTTCGGTTCTAGGAAAAACCTAGATTAGTACAGTTCTTCACACTCACACATCTTATGTACAAAAAGTAATTCTTTAAGGAACCATTAAGTTTAAAGAAGGATTAGAGAACCAAAACTGGTTCTTCTATGCAGTTATGGCACTACGATTGTTGTCTTTGAATTAGAATTTCATTCCGTGGGCCGAGGGATATGGGCTATATACCTGTAAAGCAGCATTAACACGATCATGGCAAGTGTCTCAGCCTTTAATTTTTTTTGTTGCATTTTTACCCAGTTTTCTCCCCAGTTTAGCTGATTCTGTTAGGGTAGCTAACAGAT